TAACCATTGTTTTTTTTTTAAGATGAATCCAATGCTTCTTTGGGAAATGGGTCCATGTGTTTCCCTGTAAGGCTCCAGATAATATTTCAAAACATTCTGTATGTCTAGATGTAAATACAGAATGCTACAGTATCTGTATATAGCATTTTGATAGTTGAAACTGTTTTAGTTAGTGTTCCATAAGTCTTGAGTATTTCAATGAGCTCTCCTCTGTGGAATCAAAACCTTTCATAAAATCCACAAATCTCTGTACCACTGAAAGGGTTTTAGATGTTTTTACCTTCGACTAAGTGAAGCAATAGTAGTATATGTTCAACGGTAGAATAAGCTTTTCTAAATCCGTTCTGGTTACTTCTCAATAAAGAGTCAAGTGGGTGTATTATATTCAGGTGCATCTTGTTATAAATCTTCGCTGCAACAGCTGTTAATGTTATGCTATTATAGGTTTTGGTGAGGTTTACGTATAATTCTCTCCGGGAGTGGTAGAATACCACCGTTTTTTTCCCCCAAACATCTGTCGCCTGATCATAGCATCCTTTGTTGCACACTGTAAACTGTGCATCATAAAAGCAGCCGATTTTTCCCTACTTCTACTGCAATACTATTTACATTATTTGGACTATTGTGCTCATCTTTGTTGCCATATTTATCACAACGTTTCGGCCTTTCAGTATCTGTCTATATTTCTTAGATGAGGTATTATGTACACTATTTACATTATTCGGACTTTTGTCGCCATATTTATCACAACGTTTCGGCCCCTCAGTATCTGTCTATATTTCTGAGATGAGGTATTATGTACATTATTTACATTATTCGGACTGTTGTCCTCATCTTTGTTACCATATTTATCACAACGTTTCGGCCCCTCAGTATCTGTCTATATTTATGAGATGAGGTATTATGTACATTATTTACATTATTCGGACTATTGTCCTCATCTTTGTTGGCATATTTCTTTCAAAAAGATAGGGTATTATGTAAACTATTTACATTATTCGGACTATTGTCCTCATCTTTGTTACCATATTTATCACAACGTTTCGGCCTTTAGTATCTGTCTATATTTCTGGATCAAACTATTGTCCTCATCTTTGTTGGCATATTTATCACAACGTTTCGGCTGTTGTACGCTCTGGCCTTCACTTCTTCAGGTGGTTGGAATGTCAAACTGAACCCTTTATTTCGCTCGCTGGGGTAGACTGTTCTAGTTCCACGTGTCATGTCTAATGGATATCAGTTATCAGTTATCTCCTGTTATAATTCCCCTCTCCAAGTTCTCCCCTGCCTTAATCATGTATTGAACTCACATTCTTTGGGTCCTGTCAATGGATCTAACTAACGCCTTTATCCACTGTGCTACGTGCCCTTGAGGAACTAGAACCACCTGAAGAAGGCGGGAGCGTACAACACCGAAAACGTTGGTGATAAATGTGGATGAGGACAATTCCGAATAATCATAATACCTCATCTCAGGGACAGATACTGAAGGGCCTAAACGTTGGACGATGGTTTAAATAGATGCATCTCAGAAATATAGGCAATTTTCCAAACTTTTTTCTTGTTTTTTTTTTTGTTTTTTTTAGTAATTTGATGACCTTCAATTCCTCAATAGTGAAGTCATCCGTTTTTATTAGCAGTTCATCAAACACTTCCATTACCCTTACTTGTCATTTAATGATTCGTCGTAAAGGTCCTTTTCTTTCACGCAAATATACTTTTATTTTTTAATATATTCGATACTCACATGAAAGAAAATCTCATCTTATTTATTAACTTTAACTGTTTGCATAAAACATTTGAAATATCAAGAAATGATTTTTTAATTTTGATAAAGATCACCATCATTTATCCCCCATATTCATCATCAACGTTTTCGTATTGTTACTGTGCAGCTGAGTACCTGATCAGCTCCCCTCCATGTCTCTCTCGGTCTTCTCGTCTATTGTCAGATTTCTCTCTCTCTCCTCTCTCTCTCTCTCTCTCTCTCTCTCTGAGATAAGGTTCCAGGGATAGTGATGGAAAGATTGGTAGCTTTTATGACATATCCATATCATTTCAACTTTCTCGAGTTGATGGTGGTTGGAAGATCTTCCAATGGGTCAGTTTCATGTTGTCCTGCACTGCCTCGTTTGTCATACGGTCTATGTATTGTCTCATGGTACAGAAGCATCTCATTTTAAATGCTTGAATTTTCGTTGTAATTCTGTTGTTGATGTCCTCAGACGTAGAGAAAGAGCGAGAAGGCCAATGCATGCAACAGTCTGATCTTTGATTTCATGCAGATATTCTTGTCTTTCAAGATGTTTCTTAGTTTCGCGACGGTTGCCAATTTATGTTTTTTTTTTTTGTTTTGTTTTTAAATATTTCTATTCTAAGGTCCTGTTCACTGATAATCCTGCCAAGATATTTGAATTGTCTCACAACTTTAAATTCTTGACCATCGAATATTTTCTTCCTGAAAGTCTTTCTCGTTATTCATCATGAATTGTTTTCGGCATTAATCTTCATTCCATATCTGGAGGATATTTCATCCAAGTTCCTCACCAGATCAGACGAGTTCCATTTCTTTGCTATCTAAACCGCCCATGTCGTCTGCAAAGCGAAGATTTTTGATGTGGCAATCTCCGATGTTGATTGTGCCCTCGTGAGCCTCAAGGGCGTTTCTGATGAACAGGACTTCATATTGAACAATTTAACCCTCGCAACGCAACAAAATTTATTAAATTATTTGATCAATGTTTTCAAAACATTCTGCTTTGAAGAGTGTTCAGTTTAATAATATTACATCTTATCACCAAATATTAATGTTAATTGATGAATATATAATTAAATAAATTCGTGGTATTAATTAACTACAAATTGGTAAGAAATTATACAATGCTGAGAAGCACAGCGGGTTAAGAACAAAAAGTTACAGAAAAATAGCGATGCAGAAAAATATTAAATATGGCACTCAAGTAATATATATATATATATATATATATATATATATATATATAATTAAGAAAGTGACAACTTTATTTAATTAATATTTGCCCTGGTGCGATTATCCACACGGATTACTGAAACCTTCATTACCTTATATATATATATATATATATATATATATATATATATATATATATATATATATATATAGGTGATATATATATATATAAAGGGTATATATATACATATATATATATGTATACATATAAATATATATATTAAGAAATGGACATATAAATATATATATTAAGAAATGTCCGAGAAATTTTCATAGAAAATATTCGTTCTTTGACAGGATTCGAACCTGCATCCTATTTTCTATGAAAATTTCTCGGACATGCAGGCCGGTAAATGTTATTTAATACTGTTTATCATAAACAGAGCATTTGCTTAAATACTTGTATTTATAAATAACAACGTTAAACATAAAAAATGTCTTTAATAAATAAATTGTCAGACCTTGTCCATTTCTTAATATATGACGTCATTTGTTTACATTTGATACGCCAGAGCAGTTATGAATGTACGAGATTCATGGAAGATTGAAGTTTATAAGCAGTAAATTCGACCTTGTCTACCGAAAAGGTTCTTTGTGGCCCAGAGGTAAGGCACGTCAGCGTAAATGACGGTTCCGAATCCTGTCAAAGAACGAATATTTTCTATGAAAATTTCTCGGACATTCAGGCCGGTAAATGTTATTTAATACTGTTTATCATAAACAGAGCATTTGCTTAAATACTTGAATCTATAAATAACAACGTTAAACATAAAAATGTCTTTAATAAATATAAATATATATATATGTATACATATAAATATATATATATATATATATACATATAAATATATATATATATACATATAAAAATATATATATATATTGTTCTGATTCAAATGGCTATAAATAAAAAAAAAAGGTTTTGGTCAATAATTGAAATAGTCATGTAATGAAACACCAGTAAAAATGCTAGAGAAACCAATAGCAAAATAACCAGAAAGTAAATATATATATATATATATATATATATATATATATATATATATATATATATATATATATATAAGAGTGTTCCAATAACTTGGAGCAATTTAAATATGAATTAATTTTAAGCGTGTAATATTTTTTTTCTTTTCTTTCAGATCTCGACGTTTGGGTGATATTATTTTTCACATTTGACATGTTAAATAACAAAAATCCAATAGAGAAATAAATAAATTTTCACCAATAACACTGATTTATTTATTGCTGACATTGATCCGCTTTAATGAAACACCCTTATATATAATCCATCTTAATGAAACATCCTTTACACACAACACACACACACACACACACACACACACACACACACACACATATATATATATATATATATATATATATATATATATATATATATAGTATTGCTCGAACACATGAGTTTTAAGGAAATCAACTTTGTGATTTGATACTTAACTAGAACTAAAGTTGAATATAGTAAATACTTAGGATATACAATGAATATAGTAAATATTTAAGATATACAATGAATATACTAAATACTTAGCATATACTATGAATATAGTAAATACTTAAGATATACAATGAATATACTAAATACTTAGGATTAACTATGAATATAGTAAATACTTAGGAGATACTATGAATATAGGTTAAACTGAGCATATACAATGAATAGAGGATATACTTAAGATATACTATGCATTTGTAAAAATAAAGAAATATTTGCTCTTACATAGTTGCATCATACTGCACTTTAGGGTATCAGTATTTCTAACATGCAAAATTCAATTTGCATTAATTTATTTTCACCATAAAATGATAAGAGAGAATGCGAGAAAGTGAAAAAATGAAATAATAATGTCAGGCAGTACGTGTTCAACAGTCCGTAACAACTTCTGATAATTCGGTTGAAACACGTTTTCCGCATCAATGTCACTGATCATTTTGCTTGTAAGCCAAAAAAGTATTCAATTGAATTCTGATTAAAATGCTAAGGCATGATAATATTTTTTTGCTATTTATTCATATATTAAATAAAAAAATATTATATTTGTTTAAGATTATTGCAATGTGTTTTTACTTACATGTCACACACACATACACACACACACGTGTGTGTGTATGTGTGTATAAATATAAAATGTGTATTTTGGCAACATATTTTCTTGTATCTATATCTCAATAAAGATCTCAGAAAAATTTTTTTAAGGAATTTTTATTAATTTTTTTCTTGCATTATTTTTGTTGGTGGTTCAAAACTGTAAATATATTTCACTACATTACTTCAATTAATTTCAGACATTTTAGCCATCTTCAGGTTAAGTTTGTTTTCAATCAGGGTAAGCCATTGTTTTCTCTGTCACCATATTAATTTTATTTATGCTATGTTAAAATGTTATTATGTTCAATATATTTTATATTTGAATTTTTCATCATGTCTCGCGTTGTGACGTCATACTTAATTTTTTTTGATTTTAGGACAGTTTTATGAAGTTGCTAATTTTAGGTTTTGCATATGTGTTTGTGCGTGTGTGTTGTAGTTAAAAGCATTTAACGATCTGAGACACATAATATTAAGAAAATGTCAGATATAGATATGACCCCCATAGCTATCCTGTAAACTGAATTTTACCTAACGGTCATAGAAGAAAATTTTGATACTGCATACATGAAGATTGTAGGTTTTATACCAGGAGAGTAAAGAAAAGAACGATTATTTAATACATTTTTAATATTATGTCAATAGTTTCTTTGACAGAGACATTGCTAAAACGACTATCAGTTTCTCTGGAAACTAGAATGGTGTGTAATATTTCTAGAAATTCATCGGTGGCGTTTATATTGCATTTCATTGGGAGTATGGCGTGATTCATTGTTTTGGATATTTGATAGACTTATGCAGTGATTTGAAAAACGATAGCACTGAAGTGATTACTAGTTTTTAATTTTCACTTCGTGTATCTAGGTTTATAAGATATGGCGACATTTTTAGTTTTGTTGAACTTTTCACGGAATTATTTGCATTAATATTTTTATTTATATGTTTTAAAAGTGTTTTGTCGTTTTCTTGTGTTCTTTTGAAGTTTATGAAATTTGTGGATGCTTAAAATAATTTGAATCTTGCTTTAAGAATGTCACAGAAAGTGATTTGAGAAAATGGTAATAAAGAAGAAAAGTGGCCTGATAAGCAAGAAAATGTTTGAAAAAGCTGATGTTGCAAATGAAAAATAAAAAAAAGATGCATAAGATAGCAACCAAACTATCAACTATAAAAAAATTTAACAAACAGAAATGTGTAATTTGGCTAAGAAGTAAATAAAACTGGTTTCTCAAGAGTCATTTTTTACAGTATCTGCAATTCTGAAACTTTCAGCCGTGTTAATTTGCAGTACAAACACCAAAAGCCCACAATAATGAAAATGTGCCATTATCGCGTGAAATTTCCTGATTATTTCGAAAATGACATTAAAAGTTTGCGCTCGATGACCGTAGGAGTTATGAACAATGTGAGTTCGACTTCTTTCGCATCGCGTTAACAGAACGGCTGCTATTACTGGCTTTGTTTATATACGTTTGGAAAAAAAAGAATTTATACCAATTAACCATAAACTATTCATTTAAAGCTTCATTTAAAAAAAAAAAAAGAAAGCGCATTTTAAAATAACTGCGCAGTAATCAAGACGAGTAAGAAGACGCGAAATGCAGTAAAAGGGCTGTTAATTAAATAAGCTTCCTCGCATTAATACTTGAGGCAAATGTATGTAAACAACGCCAGTAATGGCGGTAGGAAAACACGAAAGAGATCGAACTTACATTTTCGATACATCCTGAACGGTAATGGAGCACAAACTTTTTAATGCTATTTTCGAAATAATCAGGCAATTTCACACCATAATTGAACATTTTTAATACCGTAGCCTTGTGGTGCTTACACTGCAAATTAACCGTCAGTCGTTTAGTAATGAGTGAAGCAAATGATGCCTGACTTTTACAGTTTTGCAGTTCGGTTTTTTTGCTTATTCACTTTCCCTTAGTTTTTTTTTTTTATCTCCCTTCCTCTACTTGTTTAATTTCTTCACTTCTTCTTTCTTTCAATCCTTTTATCTCTTGCTCGTCTTCTTTCTCCTTGTCTTTTTTTTTCTTCTCATTCTCATTTTCTCGTCTCTTTTCCTCGTTTACCATCACATAGTTTTCACATTTCTATCTCGTCTCATCATTTTCATCACGTATTTACTTTTATTTAATTTTTCTTTCAACTTTTCTTCTTTTTTGTTTTTTTTCTTTTTCTTCTTCAAATCTATTTTCTGTTACTTTCCTCCGCTCACTTTCTGTCTAGTATTTTTTTTTTCTTTTCCTCGCTCACTCTCGTCTCTTTCCTATCTCCCCCTACGCCTGTTCCTCTGTTTTCCTCAGATCAAAAGACACTGGGGGCCTGTCTATGTCGTTGGTACTGAACCTCCCCATCACATCAGGTGGCGGCTGCTACCGCTACTTCCGGTCGCACGGTAAGATGAAACGTTTGAAAGCAAGCCGCCGGCGTCTTGCAGGAAGTTATCCACACACAGAATCCGTGGAACAGAACGTAGAGTCAGGTGCTTTTGCCTTTGGCTGGCCACTGGTGACTGGATCTGAGCTTGTCTCTGGTGGTGACAAAAGAACGGTCTCGGATGAAAAGCACAAAAGTGACATTGACACGTATAAGCGCGAACACCTTGTCTAAATATGCACTCCCCGACTATTCAGATGATTCTGCGGTTGATCTGAATAAAAGAAGACTGTTCCGGAGTAAGCACGTGCTGAGAGAAAGAGAGAGGTAGGGAGAGAGAGGCGGGAAAAAAAAGTGGGGAGGAAAGACTAAAAAAAAAAAAAAGGAAAAGAAAAATAGCAGTATCCTATTGTTACACAGTAAAATCGATTCATCGCTCTAAACAAAAACAAAAATAAATAATAAATAAATATCTGTGACAGCCGCATAGATATTACATTTACACCTTTATATGCAAGCAATGAACCTGGCTAAATTGGATGCAGTTTCAAATCCCATCACCGACTATTTATCATCAGATTCTTAGCTTTAGTCAAATGATATTTGCTAAACTTAGCTTAGTCTATAAGAGGGTCAAATTAAAAATAAGATTGTGTTGCGCAAATTTTCTAAATGGTTCACAGTTGGTTTGCTTAGCAAATCTGATTTCGAAACAATAATGAATTGCAACAGTGTGAAATACGCAGCTACTAGGTCTGCCCTTCTTGGGGGATATTTGACCGACGGACATTTGACCGAGGAACATTTGTCCGAATGGATATTGGCCGACGGACATTTAACTGAATGGACATTTAGCCGAATAGATATTTGACCGACGGACATTTGGCCGAATGGATATTTGACCGACGGACATTTAACTGAATGGAGATTTAGCCGAATAGATATTTGACCGACGGACATTTGGCCGACGGACATTTGGCCGAATGGATATTTGACCGACGGACATTTAACTGAATGGACATTTAGCCGAATAGATATTTGACCGACGGACATTTGGCCGAATGGATATTTGACCGACGGACATTTAACTGAATGGACATTTAGCCGAATAGATATTTGACCGACGGACATTTGGCCGAATGGATATTTGACCGACGGACATTTAACTGAATGGACATTTAGCCGAATATATATTTGACCGACGGACATTTGGCCGACGGACATTTGGCCGAATGGATATTTGACCGACGGACATTTGGCCGAGGGATATTTGGCCAACGGACATTTGGCCGAGGGATATTTGACCGAATGGATATTTGACCGACGGACATTTAACTGAATTGACATTTAGCCGAAAATATAGTGGCGTACTTACACGTATGTCACACTCTTTATTGTAATGTGCTACATATATTTATATTTATTTACTGTATTAATTTATAATTTTTCGGTGGGTGGGGGTGACAGGCTTTTTAAAAAATCTGTTCTGTATATATTATATTTTACTTCAAATATTACTGTATGATGATAAGTATTTTGAGAAAAAAGCACATTTTACTACAGCAAAAATCTTAAGCTTTTACGATATGAAAGATCTTTCAAATTTCGCTATTAATGATCATTATCTTAAAGGGATGAACTAGCTTTTATCTTACTGTTAAATACGAATTTAAATAATTAGATGCTACTTTTTACCCAAATACACTCAAATATTTTTTTAAAATACTAAATTCAATAAACGAATATTAAAATAAGAAACTTTTAACTTTAAATTTAGATTTAATAATTTAACCACTTGGAATTCAGGGGTAATTATTAGTCCTATTCTACCTTATAATACTGTTAATTAAAATACTTAAAGTATTGCTTGTTACTATTTTTACTTGTACTTTTCGGTGAAATGTCAGTTCGGCCCAGTCTCTCTTGGTTAAATGTCTCTCGGCCAAATGTCTGTTGGTCAAATGTCTCTCGGCCAAATGTCCGTTCGGCCAAATGTCTCTCGGCCAAATGTCCGTTAGTCAAATATCTTTTGGTCAAATCTCTGTCGGCCAAATGTCTGTCGGCCAAACGCCCCTTCGGCCAAATGTCTCTCGGCCAAGTGTCCGGCCACTCCATTAAATCTAATAGAGCAAACTTTTGGTGCATGGCAATGCTTTCTACTCTCAGTGAGGATACATTTCTTCTTTATGTTCCGTGTCCCTTCAGGACGTAGCTGATCATGGTTCTCCACAATTTCCTGTTCTTTGTATCTCTTAATAATTAATATTGCCTTTTTGTTATTTGTCCTAAACACCGTTCCGACATCCAGTTACTCAAGTTCGCGAGATGGATTATACGTTGTTTTCCATTATCCCTCTTGACTTCAATCTGTCTTTTGAGTTGCTTAGGTTTACTTCATCGTAATCCGATTTGATATGAATATGGGTGGTTTTTCGATTGAATGAACAAAGTTCGAAATACTACCTACAGAACATGAATGTGTTCGAGAAAGAGCAAATTTCACGACTCAGAAGACACGTGACAGAAGAGTTACCTAGAATTATAAGCCGTGCCGAACCGCTTCATTACACGAGCACTTATATTGTAAGAATTAACAAATAGAGAATCTTATTTTAGTAATCAAATTCTTACAAACATTTATGAACGCACAACCTTTAAAAATTCAAAATCAAACTCAGCGTTGCTTCTGCGCGTTCCAAAAACAATAACTCATTTTCAATAGCATTTTCGGATACAACAATACATATATTTTCATTGTCCTCTTATTACTAAGAGAAAAAACAAGAACAACATCTATTCTATACCTGAAGATGTCTGTAGGAACAGACGAAAGCTTGTAGTAAAAATAAGAACTAATACGGCAGAAATTTATATAAACAAGGGTCATTTCATTCATAACGGATTCGGAGGTTTTTGTATATTATTTGAATTGTTTGCGATGATGGATGTCTCGCCATTTAAATCATTAACCTTTGCATTAGTTTTTGTGTGAATAATTCATGTATTTGTAAATTCTTACAAGTATACATTTTAAATTATGAATTATTGTAACACAAATACATATAAAAACATTGGCAGATGTTGCACTGCAATAAAACCATATATATATATATATATATATATATATATATATACGTGGTTTCGAGTTAAGTCATTTTCGAAGATACCTCAGTTTTTCTTAAATATTATATGGATAAATAAAACTCGCCTTACGTCGTTTTACTTAAGATTACGTGAGCCGCTAAAATATTAGAAACGTCAAAAGTCAAACACTAAAATAACAATAAACACATATTTAAATAAATTTAAAAATAATATTATGAATACTCTCTCTCTCTCTCTCTCTCTCTCTCTATATATATATATATATATATATATATATATATATATATATAAAATCATCAAAAAACAAAACATATAATAAAGTATGTTCAGCGGATGTTCTTATTTCAAATTCCTGCCTTATTTCAAATTCCTACCTTATTTCAAATTTTTGAATTCAGACTTGTTTACATCTGTGATCTGCCGTTGACGTTCTTTCAGTTATATTTGAATTGTGATTTAGAATACATTTTTGCTCATAGCTCCGAAGAAAAGTCCCAGTGCAAGTGCTAATGCTAAGCGTAAAGTTTTATCGCTGGAAGATAAGGTGAAAATGAATTATTTTATTCAGAATACTGTACGTACATATCATAAACACTGTTATAGGCAATATATATATATATATTATGATCAAAATATAATTTTAAGGTATGCTATATTTATGGGTTAAAGTGCTCAATATCAGGAGAGTGCGTATGTAAATATAAAATTTGACATTGGGGTCAATACCCAGCGAGTGTCTGTTTCATGCTTAAACGCAATATTCTAGCCTGAAGATTGCGTTTAAGCATAAAACAGACTGCCATTGCTGGGTGATAATAATGTTGATAAAGTTATGAAAATCATATTTATTTGAAATTGGCAAGAAATGGCTTGTAATTTGGAACACCTCTGAACCAAAACTTTTAGTCATCTTCGAGAACCATTTTTGTCGACCTCCAGGAGAGCAATTCATTATTTGTCTCATATTTTTCACTGATATGAAGTGGAATCATTATATATAGTCAATTGCTTTGGCTACTGGTAGGAAAGACGGTTCACCGTGTCGTGCTGGGCATTTTTCCGGACAGAATTCATCTTGCATATTTATAAATCTACCATTCGTCTCCACATTGTATATTGCTGTCACATCTGGTCTGGTACACCTTCTATCTAAAAATGAAATGGTGAAGTTATTAAACACTTTTCATTATCCATCAAATCACCATTATCAACCATTTTAAAGCATTAAACTCACAACGTACACCCTTATACAAATTAATTGAAACAGCCGCTTTAGTTTCCTTTCTTTCACCATACGGTCAGTTTTAGACCAACTGGAGTGACAGGGGGTAATTGATTTCTATTTTTTTCCTCAGAGTAGGTTATTTGTCGTGGTGTGCAGTAATATGTATGTATTTTCGGGATGTATGATTGTTATGGTCCAATATCCTCGCACCACAGTTATGGTCCAAGGTTAGAACCAAGGAAGAACAACACGAACACAAGAGTAGAATAACAAAGATATATTACAACAGAAATATAGTACAAGAAGTTGAAGGTGTTAGTAATGACTCTCTGTCTGGTTTAGAGTGAACTAATATTGTCTCGACTCGTTACACCATTCATTCATTATATCTCTTGAGAGGCGCAGTATTTATAGTGTCAGGAAGAGTCCATTATCGTTATAGGTAAGTTCCCATAACAATGATGAAATTTGTTTGGCCTTGAAAAATATTGCGTCATCCGTGATTGCATCAGATTTTTATCACGCCAAAACACTATTGTCACGACTGTCAATTAGTTTTCCTATAGCCATTGTCTTCGATGGACGTTACTCCAAGGAAGCGTACGAAAAGTTGTAACGCTGCACGAAGACACTGGCAAACCTTACCAGTGAGCAAATCAAAGTACTATAGACTGGACCGGAAACTCTCC